TGGAGCAACTAGATATCCCTAGTACAATACTATGTAATAGGGCTAACGATGATCGTTGGCCATCTGGCTGTGATTGCGCTGATCAAACCCCACACAACCAATTCAGGACCCAAACAATCTTATTATTAATAATAATATCATTTTTATGTTCATTTTCCAGAGTTTTAACTTTTCATTTTGACATTTTGTTTGCTGATTGGGCGCTAGTATCACCATGTCATTGCTGGTTCGGTGGCTGACTTACTTTGGCTCAGTCAGAGTTGAATGGCAATGAGAATAAACCACCGCTGTGGCTAAAGTTCTCCTTAGCATCCTCACTGATCATTTCCTTCTCGCTCGACTATTGAGCTTTCTTCTTCCTCTTTCTGTTTCCCTTTCCTCATTTTTCGGTCGTTCCCCCTGGTTCACTTCCCTTTGTTTGGATATCTTCAAATACCTGTCAGTCGCAGGTGTTGTACGACATCAGACCACATATTACCTCTCTGTGAGACCGTCTTACTTACAAGCTCTTCTATGTCGGCCTAATTCCGTGAAGACGATGACTGCGACACACACACGGTTGTGAAAATCACCAGGAACCTTTGAGAGCAATGAGTCTTTTCCAAATGTTGTATCTGGCTGGGGACAGGCAAGATGAGAGTCATGTCCTGTCGCCCCGGCTGGCGTACACCGAGACTGGTGTAACATATGATATCGATCCATTACCTGCAACACAACACAAAGGTCTTATCGCAGTGGCTGTAATGGCCATACTCTCGTTTCTCGCAACGCTTGCTCTGATCTCCTTTATCACATACCGTCTTATTTTCTGGCGCTCAAACTATCAGCGGTACATCGGATACAACCAATATATCGTTCTCATCTACAACCTGGTCATCGCCGATCTTCAACAGTCGCTCGCGTTCCTACTATGTCTGAAATGGATTGCGGAGGACAAAATAGAAGCTTCATCTGCAGCATGCTTTCTGCAGGGATTCTGGTTGCAAATCGGAGACCCAGCAAGTGGTCTCTTTGTACTCGCCATCGCGGTCCACACATTCCTTCTAGTCGCCATGGGCCATAAGTTGAGCTACCGGGTCTTTATTTCTGGAGTTGTCGGGCTCTGGGTATTTGTCGCTGTTCTGGTTATCATCCCACTTGCTGCCCACGGTCGATATGTGTTTATCCCGTCTGGCGCCTGGGTAAGCATGCTCATCGCCCTTCCCGCTGGCCACCCCATGCTAACCGATCAAAGTGCTGGATCAGTGAGGACTACGAAGCCATCCGTTTGTGGACACACTACATCTGGATTTTCCTGGCCGAATTCGGCACGGTCTGCCTGTATGCCGTCATGTGGTTCCAATTACGTGCGCAAATCAAGCAATCAGCGATTCTGGGAAGCAGCCACACGGCGAGTCTGAAGCGTCTCCGTCGAGTCATCGGATACATGGTTATCTACCCAATCGCCTATATTGTGCTTTCACTTCCGCTGGCGGCCGGACGAATGGCCACCGCTCGGGGCAATACACCGAGTCTCGCCTATTTCTGTGTCGCCGGAGCGCTCATCACCAGTTCCGGCCTCGTCGATGTACTCCTCTACACTCTGACCCGTCGGAACCTCATCCTCGAATCCGAGCCGAGCGAAGACCGCAGCTACAACCGCTTTGTCAGCAGCAAGAACCGAAGAACGGACAACCACCTCACCACCATCACCGCGGATCCCAAGCATACTCGCACGGATATCAGCGTCCTGCGCACCCGGAGAGGTCGTGACGAGGAAGAGGATAACGTCGATGGGACAACGCGCGACGGATCAACAGACAACATCGTACAGCCCGGTGTCGAATTGGCTCCCATGGGCAAGGTGTTCCAGCACACCACGATCGAAATCACCCACGAGCCGGCATATCCCGAAGCCGAAGGGAGCGACCGGTCCAGCAAAGACTCATTGCAACGCCCGGTCAAGGGCCATGAAAATGCATCCCGGATGTGGGGTCGATAATGGATGTCTTGTCTACTCCGTCTATAATGCCTCTTTCCATCTAGATACACGATGTCAACATTTACGTTCATTTCCGCTTCTATATACCACTATCTTCATTCTTCTTCGACTCCGTACGAACTTCTAGTGACGCCCTACTCCTACTCCTATTCTTCATCCCGATTTCTCGACTGAGCGGGCATTGTCGTAACGACTCCGACCTCGACTCAACCGACGGTGGCTCTTTGTACATTCTATACCATCTTCTCGACTCTTTCCTTTCCTTTTTAATCTCTTGTCCCGGGGAGGAAATACTCATTATAACTTGATGATCGGTGATGATCTTTCTTACCTGGTGAGCTCGGTTGTCGAGCTTTGGCCAATGCTATTACAGGACTTGTCCTGTCATACTATATAATTGAACCATTATTGATCGAAGCTTGCTCGTCCGCAGCGTCAAATCTAAGCTAAGATACGGAGTAGAAGTGCATAAGGTCCGCACTGCAGTCCAACCGAACGCATACCGCCCTTGCATGGGATAGTGCTCATTATCAATCTAGCAATCACAGCCGGGGACTATTCAAGGCCTGTAGACAGATAGCCTTTGCAAGGTTGCAGTATCCGAGCATCGCTGGTATCCATATGCGGCGTTGCCATTACAATTTGTGCATTCCGGTTATATATCTTCCCCCAATGGCTGTTCGAGTCGTGGCTTACAATATATATACGCTCTACTAGGTCCCCTTCAAGGTCAGGGTACAGGTCCGTTCTATACCAATGTGACTAGGCTACTGCTCAAGCTGTCCATCATCACGGGTCCCGGCGAGCTGTCTGATATGTTGCGCTGGGGAGGTGAGCGCTGTGTCATTCAAAGGATGTTGCGCTTGGCTGATTGAAGAAAACCGAGTATCTTCAGTTGCTTGAGAAAACCATGATGGGCATTGGAGCAGGCGCGGAACGTCTGATTGAGTGGTTCGTCGGTCGACATGTTCTCGTTCCTCCCCTTCCGGCATTCAGGACAATGGCCACGCCACAGACTATCTCTTCCAGTAGGGGCAGTGAGCTGTCATCGACGAAAAGGCGACGGAAAATGCAGCCAGGAAGATCTTCGCTAGAATAATTCACGAGTCTAGAAGGATGATACAACCCTCACGGATAACGATATGATACAAGAGGCCTAGAACCTGAATCTGACTGGTTCGAATACCACGGCGGTCACGATGACATATCTCGCTCGAGCGTGTCGCAGCCTCACCTGCGCCGCGAAATTGAGGGAGTTAGCAGTCTCAGAGCGGCTCCGACGACGTTACACTGGGAGAGTTGCACTTGCTGAAAGCTGTCATGGAGATATTGAGACTGTAAGGAGCTGCTCCGGGCGGTCTCCCTCGCACTGTTCCGGAAAAGGGGGCGGCAGTGTCAGGTTACTTACCCCCACAGGATATCACGGTGAGCCCCCAGACTTGTACAATCAGTCACGAACAGACGTCTCTATTCGAATTCCGAGATAGTCAAGAGGGAACGTTGGATTTCGGGGGATAGGCCGGTCTCCAACCGAGCCAATATCGGCTTCTCCCCGTCCGGGATTGGCTCGAGAACTTGTCTCGTATCCATTTGGCTTGGATGGAGCCGCGACTGCCTGCAGCGGAGCTTTTCCGTGGATGCAAGAGGGTGAGATTGGCCCCTAGAGGGCTGCTACGTAGGAGACCATGAAGCCAGTGTACTTCTTCTTGATCGCCCCTGTAGGGCACCAGTGCGAAATTCTGCCTGCTTCAGCGTCCACGTTTGACTTGACTGCTTGGAAGCATTACTTGTAGAATGTGATGCTGGAATCGAATGACACGCAGAAGACTTTTTGCCGAGGTGTGATGAAATCCGTACCTTTGAACCTGTACTAAATAAGAGTAGTGTGCAGAGATTGGTCAAAACGAGCTATGAATCCCTGTCAATTCCCGCCGGCTGAGAGACCATTCGGCCGCTGGCGCATACCCTCGGAAAGTGTATGACATGATGAGCATGGTCTGTTGCTCATCCACTCCTGCTCAAAGCTAATAGTATGCAAGGAATAGTGCCAAGGAGACTGGACTCGCAGAGATAGACACGCAGAAGCAATCGGGATTTGAATTGGCCAGATCTGCATGCAGTGCGCTTCTTGGAAACAAAATGAAAGGCACTAAATGCCCCTCATCCACTGAGGCACCTACTAGGTACCTGGTCTGGGAATGGGCGATGCACGCTGCAAGCCACCTTGGAACTCCACTCGCGGAATAATCCTCCGAAATGGACGTACGTACATCTCGTGAACGTGGAGTCATTGGCCGTCGTAGTGGCTTTTCGGTCTGTGCCGGATCATCAGTTGAAATAGGCACCAAGAAGCTTATCCTGTGCTCAACCGGAAACTGAAGATGAAGCTGTCCTTAGGCATAACAAATTGCAATCAAAGTCGGGATTCGCATATCCCGGTCGGGCTTTGCGTTTTTCCCTCTCCCAATCACGGGAAGGATATCCCCACGTATGCCACTGCGGTCTGATCACGGAATTTTTCTCGGCTGGACTTATCAACAACCCTGCAAGGCCGTGTAATAATGAGTCCATCTTGCGACAGCGATGTTTACCACGAGAGCAGATGTCGAGCCTCGATGATCCTCCGTCTCGTAGGCCTCCGGTCAGAGTAGCGTGCCTTTCCTGGTGTGTATACCTCTTGACCTGAAAGCCGTTTTGAATTCGTAGAACTCTGACAGAAAGACCTTGTACAGCCGTGCATCCCGGGTTCGCTGCGATGGCCAAAGTGATTGCTTGAACTGCATCACGAAAGGCCACAAATGCGTCTACATTCCTAGCAGACGCGGAGGACCGCGGTATAGCAGAAAATTCGCTAAAGCTGTCGACCCGCTTGATGGAAAGGGCGAATCTGGAGGAGTTCTGGAAGAACGAAGCTCATCGAATTCTGATGGAGACGGTATGACTTATGTGAGCGCCGGTTCTGGAAACGTATTAACAACGCTTATCCTTGTCTGTAGAATGGTTGAGCCATTTGGTAGGCATGAGTGGGCCGGGAGCCGGACTGCGCAGTATCGACACACCAATGGAGGAAATTGAATCCATCTTTGACACCGTGTTTGCTCCTAGCCCAGGAGACGCAGCACATGAATTGGATCCTTCTTTGGTGTCAGACCTAGTCCAACTGTATGGAAGTGATGAGGATATGTAAGGCCCGGGCAGTGACGCCTCACGACATCAGTGGCTGATCATCAGAGCAGACTAGATGCCTACTATGTCTTCATCCATCCTTATCACCCAATTCTCCCTCCACCCGAACGTTTGCCCGTATATAACCGCCCCTTGTCTCAGCGGCCAGAGTTTCGGCCGGCAAGTCCGCTGAGTCTAGCTATCTCTGCCCTTCTGGTCCTCATTCCACATCCGAACGAGTCAGATCCATTGAGAGCAGAGTATGTGAAGCTTCGCAGAGGGTTTGCGCAGACTTTTGCTCGAGATGCTCTGAAAGCTGTAGAGCTTGATGCCAGTCTGCTAAACCCATCGAATAATACTCTCAGTGTGCATAGAGCAAGGTTTCATCCTAAGTTGCCTTTGTGTCTAGAAGGCATCCTAGCTCTGAATATTCTAAGTGTCTATGAGTATGCACAGCGAGGCAGTTTATGCACAATGAGCGATCGAGCTAATGAGGCACTGACATCAGCGATGAAACTGTCGTTGCATGAGACCCTTGAGGAGGATGAATATGCGGAAGCCAGGCGGAGGACATGGTGGATGACGGTTAGCTTTTGTCAACACTTTGGTGTTTCTTTGGATAAGTTAGCTGACAGATCTTCGATACAAACAGTACATGGTGGCATGTCAAGCAGCCATTTTGAACAACATGGTAGGATACCGATCACTGCGGTGTTTGTTGACGAGACTAAAAATCGGTAGCCTGCCACATTCGACCCGTTTGATCCTCATTTTGCGACACCATTTCCCGAGGTATGTGTCCGGTCCTCGAAATAAGGTACTATTGTGCTCATTTTGCATAAAGGGATGGAAGGTGCCTGTCGAGGCGCAACAGACGCTCCTTGAGACTGTCGCGTTTATGACTGACCTCGAGCAAACGAAGGCTTCGGGTCAAAGTGAATCTGGGATACGGGAGCGGATGTTGGGTCTTGATTCCCAGATCGGATCATTGTTGTTTCTATGCAGAGACACGCGGTCTGCCCCCAAGATCGTTCCAACACAGGTGGAATCTCCGGAGGTCGCGGCCTCCCAGATCATGATCACTATTGCAGAAATCCGATTGCACACGTGAGTACACTGTTCAACAACGTCAGCACACAGACTATTACTGACATTTCGCGTTCAGCGCCAGAATTAAGGCTCACAGACTTTGTGCTTTCCAAGATATTCCCAGTTTCCATCAGCAGCAGTGCGAAATCGGACCATCTCCCATTGTATCTGAATCTGGGACCCGGCCCGACTCGCTTTCTGCTAGTGGAGCAGAAAGCACACAGCCTTCAACGCCTTCATCAAGCTCACCTTTGCATTTTCCTTTATCCTCGCACGAATCCTCCAAAATCTGCTTCCACGGCGCCCTTAACATCGTCACCTTACTGAACAATCTTCCCTTCCCTAACCCGACCAACGAGGTCCCACTCAACAGCCCACCGTATCTCTCCCAGACAACCCGCGTCGAGATCCCACGGAGCATACTCACCTTTGCCTGCTGTGGAATGCAATCCGGCTATGTGATGTTAATGCTTTGTCTCAAGGCACGCGCTCTACGGGAGCGCCGTATGGAGGAGTCCAATTTCGCAGACACTCCCTCTCTGACAGCTCTTTTGAATGATCTGCATCAAAGCTTACGGCTGCTTGTCAAGTGTTTGAATAACTGTGCGGTCGCATTTGAGGCGCTTTCTGGAATGAGAGGTACTCCTATTCCTGTGTCTGAGAATACTGTTGCCTTATATTTCAACTGAACTGACAAGACTCTCGTCGGACAGACCGAATAGCTCAAGCGATGGAGCAAGAGTTCCAGAGATAACCTCATCACCCGGCTTGCTATTTACTCGATTTTTCTAGCTGCAGATCAGCTCGATCGGCCATTGCAGCTGGGGAACATACATAATATTACCTAGGAGCCTCAGCCAGATGTTGGGTTATGCAGCCAAGGTCATAAATATGCCTGGGTAGGATAACATGACGTATAGTGCTTGTCGATATCTTCGTCACCATTGGTCTTCATGATGGCTTCCATTCTTGGCTATCGCCAACAGAAAGCGCACAGTCTCAGTCAAGACATAAGACTTTACGGTCCGCGTCGGTCCGTGTTGACACAACAGTTGCCTTCTGATCAGTCAAGTCCGGCAGCACACACGGCAGCAGATAGACCTACGCCCGATTATGCATTAAAAATGGCTTAAAGTACATACTCTCACTATGCTATGGTATCTCAAGCCTGCAAATAGTGATTGTCTATTTGATGACGCAACGAGTCACTTTCTGTAGATAATCACTTTCCCCTCTTTCATCTTGCCGCAAGGTGTTTTCTTTGGATATACGCTTAAATACTTGTAAATAGGCGGGTGTTCTGCAATATTCTTATATATTATAGAATTGGGTCTGTGCTGATTTTGCTATTTACTATGTCAGAAGTATAGCACATGAAGCATGTGATTTAGGTGCTTGCTGCAGTACAGAACGGCAAGGCTCATGGTCGGGTAGAAACATAAGAACCAAAACACTGCCCAAACCTCCACCTACACCCCTCTACAGCTGCACCTTTTTCACAACGAAAGAATGGCGCTGTCTTTCGAAAGTGCAATCTAGTCTGCGGAATGATTCTTATAGATTGCAAAAGGGCAACGACTGACAAATCTACTAGGCAAAGGGTATCTTGGATTCCACAATCTCAAAGTGAACTCATTGGTATCGCAATCCTAGCTCCTGATACATAGCGATCAACCGCTGCCTAACCGTCTTCGCCAATGGCCATGACTTCCCCAGCACATGCAGCGCGCCCACTCCAAGCTGGATTCTCGCCCTGATCGACTCCTGTTTCGCTGGAATGGAGATAAATAAGCACGCAACAGTGTGCACTACCACACACATGGCAAGCGCGCAGGTGAAGAACGGGGTGCGATATTTGACCGGATTCGGCAGGGTGGCCAGATTGCACAGCAGATCTGCTGCTCGCAGGAGCTTCTGCGAATGCAGGTCAAGGGAGGTGGAAGGGGGAGTGGCCTCGCGGGTTGTTGGGAGGCGGGTGCAAGAGGTATGAGCGTGAATGGAGGCGTATCGCATGTCTGATCGAGGGTGGTGGAGGTAGATCAGCGCACTGGGGCAGGGTCAGTTTGTCATGGGGAACGCAGGTGGGTTGGATAACTGATGCACGCACAGGTAGCTCGTCATCTGAGCTTGGAAGGCCATTTCATCTAGGCTGGAATGGCTGCCGTACGCATCCCGCTGAGACGATGGGAGTTGCATCAACGATGTAACCAGCGCAGCGTCGATGGTTTCGATTTGAGTGTCCAGCTCGATATCCAGCGATCGATTTAATTCCATGACCATGCCGAGAAGGCGCACGGCCTTGATCCTGTATGCGGATGAGGGAAATCGCCTTTCGTCATCAAAGTGCCACTTGTTGATGAGATCTTTGAAGGTCAGATTGCTCAATATGACCTAGCAGGTATCAGCGAAGGCGCCAAAAAGGAACATAAACGACATACCGCGTCACCGGAGTTATAAAGCTCTTCATCGCAAGGCAATCTCACGTCTGCAGCGTTATGAAACAGTTGGAACGCGCTCTGATCACGCATTGCGGCCAAGAATCCGTCCACAAAGTACAGCTCCCAATACGTCCGCCGCCAACTCTCCTCCAATATAGAATTCCCGCCGGAGTGTTCTGCCGCGAATGCGGCTCTGTTCATACCCAGTTCCAAGGCCAGGTTAACGGCAGCCTGCATAATACGGGTTGCACTGTCTTCGGCGCCACGTGCATGATCGACGATGGCGAGAAGGACCATTCCCTGGACCTTGAATCCGTCACGAGGCGCTGAGTCGGACAACACGGAATAGGCGGATTGGCGGAAGAACTCTTTGAGGGACGGATCGTGGTGCTGGTGAGCGCCGATGAAGCGCATGATGGACAGGATGTATCGGGGTATCTTCTCGGATAAGGGAGAGTGAAGTGCTTTCCTTGGAATCACGAGGGGATGTGAGCGGTGGAAAGTCTGGTAGTACAGTTGGATCAGAGGATCATATGCAACTTCAGGTGTTACAGCGTTCTCTAGTTCGGGCCACGCAAGTGCATTCTCTGGCAAACCTGAAAGATCTAATGTCCGGGGAGCGTCGAGTTGTGGTTGGAAGAGTGCTTGACCTATCTGGTTCTGTCAGTGACTCGTGGCCCATATCGCATCGTTCTAAGGATGGTCCCGTACATCTACAAGATCTGAGGTGAGATTTGTCCCACCGAGCCAGTCCGGGAAATCGTCCGGGTCGATTGCAGAGAAAATGGAGGCATCATCATCAAGCAGCTGCTGGGGAGGATTGCCGTTCTTCGTTCGCAGTCCGCGTCTGGATTGAATATAGCGACATTCCGTGCTGGAAGCCTGGCAACGGCTACATACTGGCATCTGGGCGTCACATTTTAGATGACGGCGACGACAGGTCATACATGCCAACGATGACGGCCGCCGGGGAGGCCTGGACGATGTTGAATCTTGCTGCATGGTTATACTCGATGGTTCTGTGTCATTATTGAAGTATCACGAGTTTTACAGTGGCTCGAAGTGGCCAAGTACGCTTTTTACAATAATTATCTAGACGTCAGTGAGATTTGTTGTCGGGTATCCTGCAAGTCAGAAATTGGATCGATCCCCGATGTTCAATAGAGAATAATAATAATGAACTCTGTGAAGCCCAGCGGGAGGCCGAGATCCCCGAATCGGCGACCACAGTGTGAGGTCCTGGGGACGGCTACACGTCCGATGAACCCCACCTCTGTCCCCAAATAAAGAAATGGACTCGACCACTTATTCCGTATTTAATTTGAAAGAAACCCGATATCTGACTTATGTTGACATTCAATTCCTGCGGTGGTACAAATACCATGGGGATCCGAATATAGTACATCGGGGACTCATGGAACCCGAAGAACACCTCAGCTGGCTCACATCATCTGCCCGACATCCTCTCTCACCTGCAGGCGTCGATGCAGCAATCATCGTCCGGTTATTGAATAGAGGCTTATGACCTCTCCTGTTTGAATTCAATTTCGTTGCATCCATTCTAACCATGCTTATCCGCTCATGTAGTGCGGCTACTGTGGCTTAGGAAGGGAGCACTACGTTTGCCAGAACTGAGACGACACCAGTCGGATACTATAGACAGCGGAAAGGCTGAACAAGAGGCCGACACTCTTTCATAACCCGTGAGGTAGTGAGATCATGCCCGGGAGCCCGAGAGCATACCAACGCCAGCGGGATGGATCGACACATCCGGAAAGCATTATTGCCTGCGGAGGAGTGTGCCAACTGGCGAATAGGGACTCTTGCAACCACTTCGCCGACGCAGAATCCTTGCAGACAGGCGACAACGACGCTATGGATGGAAAAAAGCTGCCCTTAAAGGGATGTCATTTTCTTAATTAAGCCATTGAGAGCGACTCGGCGGGTCTGGCCAACAGATCGGGTATGGGGCGTTCCTGCGACGAGGCTGTCGCAAAGAGCACTTCACATGAGTCCATGTCACAATTTTCTGGCCTGCCAGGGGGTTGGGGGTGCAATATAGTCGACTCTATGGAGTAGCCACTGAGACCTTTGCGACGTAGGTTACAGTGGCTTCTAGACGGCGACTAGCCGGTGACCAAAGCCAGGCACAAACCTACGCACAATATAACTTCAGCCACGAAAGCATAACACTTAATAATCTAGATGCTTCTTTAAATGGAATTCTGATTCCTCTGGTCCCCGCGTGCCCCATACATCATTTAGCTTGCGGATCACTTGGCAGTTAGGAGTTCCCGAAAAAGGTCCCCGAGGCCAAGGACTGTGGCGCCGGGGAAAGTCTCCCGCCAAGCCAAAAAGGCAGCCCTGTGTCATGATCGCATTGGCAGATCCTTCTTGACAAGGTATCAGTTTAGGACGATCAGAATCGACAGCAAAGTAACAAGATGACCGTGTTTCGACGCTTGGTCAAGGGCTCAAGGGGCTCTATCTTGACCAGTTAGAGAGTAGCGCTGATCAGATTGGTGGCCGAAAGCTGGAGGCCTATGGGAAGATGGAAGTGTCGATCTCGCCAAAGAAGGTCATATGGATTCTACTGATTGCCCAGAAACATGAATGGTACGTCTTTTTCCCTGCAGTCCGGCGCTGGTTCGATTTGTAGATTTCCGCAGTCTTAGAGCCCGCTCACCAGCCCTGGTCTGTATACGGAAGGGTATAGTGACCAGTCGTCTCACTGCTCCTATTCCGGGGCAAGACGGGCCTCTCGAATGATATTATGTGGGCGAGATGGAATCTGAGACGTCCAAAGACTGTCGCCATGGCGCACGCCAAACTTGAAGACAAAAGAGCCTACGTGGCAATCCCATTGGCCTGATCAAGCAAGCCTGAATGAAGCTATGTACTTCTCAAAGACTGACCTACAGTTCAACAAACGGCCAGTGACTCGTTCAGAATACACCAGGTGTGAAATCAACCACCTGCGCCTTCTCAATTACCCCATCGAGACTCTTCACAAACGCCTGATGCGCCGGGTCCGTCCGCACATAATATTCCCGATCGGCCTCGTTATCAAACTCAACTACAAAGACATGCGTGATTCCGTTCTTCGGCTGTCAGTACGACCGTATAACCGGGTGCAAGAATCACATACCTGCAGTCCCTCGATCGAGTTGTCCTTTCCCCCGGCGGAAGCCTTGATGTAAGGTTTTTGCGTTGTGGGGTGGATGCAGTTCTCCCTGAGATTGAGCATGCGGGTACACGTCTGGTTGGGTCAGTATCTGTACTGCAATTGGAGTGGTTCAGGACATACATCTTTGATGACTTCCGGGCTGGCGGTGGGTTTGAATTGGAACTGGACGACGTGGATGATGGCCATTTTTGTGGTTCAGTGTACCTGTCTTAGGTTGCTTTGCTATGATATCGAGACTGAAAAGAGTTGAATGCAGAGTAGCATGACGAAAGCGGGGTGTAAGTTGTTAAATGGTGGGGTAATCACCTCTGTAAGACATCATTCAGTAGGGAATTCTTCGTCACTATACCACGCACGGTGGGTCTTATCAACTCCACATCAAAACCTGACTTGAGAAGGCTGTACTCCATCTCCTGGCTCCCGAAATTACCAGAGCAGAGAGATTAGAGAAATGACGACTTACATAGCAGAGGAAATCGTCGGAACAATATCAAGGCCCATCGATGCGGTATTGGGAAACGTGTCGTGGTGGACACCTCTCGGACCAAAAGTCATTATGACCCTACATTTGCTTCCGGTGAACTACCTCCCTCAGACACTATCTCACTGTATGTGGGATATCCTATCAAAGCCATCCGGGCGGCCTTTTGAAGAGCTTTCCCTCGGACAGAAAGCGCAGTAGTCGGCCATATAGGCTAAGCATTCGCGACAGAGTCTACCCCTTGAACTGGAAGCCGCTCTGTATATTCCGTAGGAGGAGATACTGAGGTGTGCATGTCAAAATCTGTCTACCACGAAGGTTTCTGGGTCAAGCTCCGAGTCGGAGAAGGCAACAATAAGAAGTCTTAACGAACAAAACACATGGCTTCTATCATTAACATGAGCTCGGAGGAGACAAGAGAGGATCCACGAGTTCGAGGTGTTGAAAGAGGAAGACAACGAAGACAGATGCCGGCTATATAGTAGTCAAAATAGTCTTGCAGACGTTTACTAGTGTCCTCTAATGCTACACCTTCTCTTTACTGCAGTCACATCTACCAACAACAATCTTAGCATTCTCTCCTGTATTTACTTGGCAGAGCGCTAGTCATTGAAGAATCCCAAGTCATCTCTGTCATGCTGTCTAGTCAATGCTTGTAGACACAGGTGGAAGGCAGGTAATCAAGGGCATAGCACTCTCAAGCAGGAATCCTTGTCAGTAGAACATATATCAAAGTTTCAATCCATCTGTAACAATGGTCTACATAGTATACATAGAAGCATCATTCAGGGTCCTAGTAGTGGATAAGGTCCCACCCTCGACAATTATCTTGCCGATGCTGGCGCTGATGACTGAACAGTGTACAGCTTCTTGAACAATATTACGTCTATATAGCCTGTATCCGCCATTCTGATCTGATTGGTGCATAAACTGAACGTTCAATATGATGACTCTGCGGGGTAGTTACCCCAGACTATCGGGATCGTTTAACCCGAGGATGTATAAAGATTTGAATATCCTCACAGAAGTATGTCTCGCGTCTTCTGTAGGGATTTCCAAACGCAGAATGGCGAGAAAAAGACTTCTATTCTTGCTCTTGGTGCCACAGCTTGCTCTAGGACGAATTGACCGGTCCGTTCAGGTTGGATCCCATTTTCCATAAAGGCTCGCTGACGATAGCAGGCAGCATGTAGTGTCCAAGTATAATGTTGTCCGCACGAGGCTAATCGACAACGAAACAACGCCTCTCCAGGTCGGCAATGGAAACTTCGCCTTTAATGTCGATAACACGGGCATGCAGGTATTTTGCTTACTCACTTCGTTCCAGACAATGACTTACTGTGCTTGCAGTCTTTCCTCCCATTCAACACTCTGTCAAGCTGGGCCTGGCACAATGATTCATTGCCCACAGATGGGTACGCTTTCTCACTGTACTCTTCGGAAGAAACAGGGATTGGTTTCTAATTTAGGATAGCGAGAAAATCGAGGACTATCACGGTGTGGCGATATTGACCCACGGCCGAAACGTCTCCTATGACATTCCAGACCCCCATCTGCCGCAAGCATCGCAATGGCTTATTTCCAACCCGAACCGAATCAACTTGGGACGAATTGGGCTTCAGTATAAGGGTGACTTCCTCACAGCGTCACATATTAGCGAGCCGCATCAAGAACTGGATCTCTGGAGTGGCGTTATTTCCTCCACATTCAAAATTGACGGTCAACTTGTGAAAGTGGTGACGCAGGGCGATTTCGAGTCTGACTCGGCTGTTCTCGAGATCCAGTCAAATCTCGTCTCTTCTGGAGATCTCACTGTTGGATTAGATTTCCCTTATCCTCCGATTCACTCGACAAAGTACAAATATGAAGTGTTTGTCGGCAGCTACGATTTCCCGCAGAACCATACCACATCGATTGTTGGAAATACAAGAGACGGGGCCCATATTTTCCATCAGTTGCAAGAGACTACCTACTTCGTCAATCTGCGATGGCCTGCTGCTTCTTTGCAATTGTCTCGCGCGAGCAATGCGACTCACCGCTATACCCTTGCGCCTTCATCCTCATCTACCCTGAAATTCACTGCCAATTTTGCACCAGACAAGCGGGTGCCGGACTCACCCAAAGCTATCCAACACCAAAATCCCATTGACTGGAAGAAATACTGGACTCGTGGAGGGTTTGTCGACCTCACGGCGTCGTCCAATTCCAAGGCGGGTGAACTTCAGCGTCGCATCATCTTGTCACTATACCATGTACGTGTCAACAGTGCGGCTAAAGGACAGTCACCTCAGGAAAGTGGACTGATGAACAATGGGTGGTATGGTATGTTACTTGTGATAATTTTTCAATATGCAACTGTCCACTTACGACTATCCGCAGGAAAGTTCCATATGGAAATGGTTGTCTGGCACAATGCCCACTGGGCGACCTGGGGTCGGCAAGAACATTTTGATAATATCTTTCCAGCCTTATACGAAAGCCTGTTGCCATCGTCTCTTGCACGAGCCAAGTCTATGGGATGGGAGGGAGCACGGTCAGTTCTATTGTGCAAATTTCCTGATTGACTACTTAAGGAGCACAGGTGGCCCAAAATGACCGATATTGAGACTGGGATCAGCTCACCTGGCGGTGTCAACGGTCTTCTTATGTGGCAGCAGGTCAGTCATCTCATATGGTATATTGAATTTATCTAACCGATCAGCCCCATCCTATGTACCTTGCGACACTGGCTTACCAGGCTTCACCAACACGCAAGACTCTTCAACGATGGGATCCCATCTTGACAGCCACTGCAGACTATATGGCATCTTATGCTTGGAAGAATGAGACTTCCGGTTACTATGATCTTGGACCGCCGTATGTTCATTTGCCCTTCGAAGACCTTGACTGATTTGAGACAGAGCATACGGTGTCACCGAAAATACTCCACCCTCGCAGAGCCTAAATCTAGCATACGAGGTACTTCTACAGTCTCACGCACGAAGCAGTGCTAACTTCCGTCAAGATCGCCTACTGGCGATACGGCCTAGATGTCGCCCGCTTATGGAAGAGAAAACTCGGCCAACGAGTGCCCGATTCATGGACAGCTGTTGCGGAGAATCTCGCACCTCCGCCTCAAGTTGACGGACTTTATGCCGTCTATCAAGGCCTGAATAGCTCTTGGTGGAACGATACCTCTCTTACTAAGGATCCTCGCAGCTTGATCATGTTACAGGGTATCCTCCCCGACACACCAGCAGTAGATGCTAAGGTTGCATTGACAACCGCCAAGAAGGTCTGGGAAGTCTGGACAGATGACAAGATCAGGGGATGGGGGAGACCTGTTCTCGCCATCAACGCTGCTCGGGTTGGGAGCCCAGAAAGAGCGATAGGACATTTAACCGCCTATGACTATTGGATCTTCGATGATGCTGGTATGTTTCCTGCTGCCGTCATAGTACAAAGCTAATATTATCCTATAGGATTCGCTGTCCGTGGTGGTGACGGTAAGCCCCTCCTTCCTTGTGATCTGTTGGACACTGACGAATGCTATGTATACAGGGGGCACTCCTCCTCCCTTTATGCCGGGGAACGCGGGATTCTTGTATGCCGTGGCGTATATGGCTGCTGGCTGGGACGGATCCCAGGGCGACACTCCAGGGTTCCCTTCTGATGGCAGCTGGGTAGTGAAACATGAAGACCTGCGTAAGGCGCCATAGACACTAGTCATCCATCCTATCCCGGAAGAAGTGACTACACCATCAATAGACTTCAATTTATCCGGCCAATAGAACATGCATCAGATATTGCCACCCCGCAAACTGCCTGCCGTGAAGAATCGTAAGCTCCATTCGGCACGTATCTAGTAAGATTCAAGCAATGATCGTCGTGATGAAACCCTTAATACCCCAGATTGTTTCATCTCGACCTTGCTCCTTCTGGCACGGGAGCGGAAGAATGGGTAGACGAGCGGTTTTCGCACCGAAATCCCGACTCCATCTATATATTGACATCATTAGTCCTCCCAGAGGAAGCGCAGCACCCATACCCAGTAGCCTCCAACGCAACAAGCATCCAAAATGCTCCTCGAACTAACACTCCCCCTCCTCCTCGCCCTCACCTCCTCCGCCCAACCCACCGCATCCCCAACGACAACCACCCTCCCAACCCTCCAATCAGGCTGGTACTTCATCCGCGCCGTCGAAACACCAGCCTACCACAGCTACCTGCAGACCATCCCCAGCACCACCCCGGGACCAGCCTATCTGTCCTCCAACACCAACGCCGGCCAATTCAACATCATCTCCGGCCAACTCGTCTACAACACCGGGGCAAGCCAGCTGTACATGAACGTCGAAGATCCCGTCGACAAGACGCAGCGCACTCTGCAGACGTGGTTCAACAAGACGCAGAACCAGTACGGCAAGTTTGGGTTCCAGGGGGATGCGGTGACGTGGAGCGTGAGTGATATTGCCCGGCCGAATGTGGCGGCTTGGTATGTTTGTGGGGACCAGGGACGGTTGTATATCAATACGGGGCCTTATGGGTACCAGACGCCGGCTGGGTGTTATGATGAGACGGTATGTTTCTGTTGTGGTAGTGTGGAATGTAAACTGATGATGCTACGCAGATTCATTCGTATGGGGGTTCGACGCCGACGGTTTGATGTTGAGAGTATGGGATTATCATGTGCGTTGACTGATGTTTATTATCGGGTTGGATAAGGAATATAACTATGGGCACTGCATTGAGAATTGAGAGTTAGCTACAAATATCTTTCCTTGTATAACTAATCATGGCCACCAATCGGCTTAGGCGTGTATGGCTCCTCCAGGTATCTCTCCTCATCAGCCGTCAAGGTTTTATCTTTGACTTGTATCATCTCATCCATTCGCTCAACAGAGCTGAAGCCCACAATCGGACTGGCGACACGCTGGTTGACCCAAGCCAAAGCCACCTGACCCATTGTCCAGCCCTTCTGCTTTGCCAACTCCTCCACTCTGGAGATGATCACCTCATCTGCCTCAGTCACTGCGCTCGGATCGTTGTTCTCCGAGCGAGTAGTTCCTCGAACCTGCGAGAGTGGACGAGCGAGTTTACCACCGTCGAGAGGACCCCACTGTTGAGATATCTCATGAGTCAAACTTTTCATCAAAATAGGTCATCGGGGACTTACAGGAATGAGACCAACGCCTGTCTCATTGCAGAAGCGATTCATCTCCCGCTCCTCCTCGCGGTAGAGAAGACTGTACTGATTCTGCATGGAGATAAACTTCGTCCACCCATGCTTCTCTGCGCAATGCTGCATCATGACGAACTGGTACGTCCGCATCGAGCTCGCGCCGATGTATCGCACCTTCCCACTTCGGACCAGATCATGAAGAGCTTCCATGGTCTCCTCGATGGGGGTGAAGGGATCGAAGCGATGGATCTGGAAGAGATCGATGTAGTCCGTACCCAGGCGTTTCAACGAGGCGTTGACTGCGTTGAAGATCGCTTGGCGGGAGAGGTCTGAAGGGTGAGTATGCCATGTGATCAACGGGAATCAAGTTTACATACCAAATTGATTGACGTATTCCTTGTCCTGGCGCATGTGGTCGGCGAACGGGACAACATACTTGTTGTCGTGTTCACTGACAGGTGACCAACATTTTGTAAGAATGAGGATTTTATGCCGAGGAAGATTGTAATATTCGATGGCCTTGCCAATTATTTCCTCTGACTTGCCGTTGGAATAGTTGTTCGCGGTATCCCACTGTTCCAGCTTAGCCAGTACTCATCACGTAGACCATAGAGATACTAACAGTGGTAAGACCTCGGTCGTAGGCAGCTTTCAGCAAGGGTAGAGCCTGATATGTCTCAGTCTATTTCACGATTAACTTGCTTGTCCGGACTCACCTTCTCCTCGTCAAGAATCCACGATCCCCATTCTGGAGAGCCGATGCTCATGCCACCGAGAATGGGCACGGAAACGCGTAGACCACTCTTCCCAAGCTGACGATAGGTGACTTTGGTTTGCTTCAGTGAAGCCTTTAGCAAGGGAGGAAGCTCAGCGGCCATTTTCACGTCTTCTTCTTCGGTGCTTATATCTGCTTTCGCTGGAGTCTTCTTGAAGCAGTCGAAAGGGAAGTTAGGTCTGAGCTGATGATCGATATTCCTCAAGGACATGCATAGAGCTTGCTTTTATACTGCAGCTCTCAATGTCCCCATGTTGGAGGGCGTGTCTTTCTGCTTCCATCTCCAGCAACCTCAATATGCTGATTTCTAAGCAGCGACAACAACACATACGCCGAGCACTCGAAACAATCGTATTGAAGCCTTTTCTCCGCGATATCATGAAGCTATCTCCGAGATCAAGATGTCATTAAAGTAAGCACAAGGCCAAATACGAGATAATGCTTGGCTTTCTTGTCTATAAATCAAGTCATGAGTCATATGGCGGGATTTCGGGCCGAGCAGCGAGCTCTTGATGTCCAGGAATCGATGCATAGCAGATTAAGCCAATGGGGGTTGGATTTGTGTCTAGAGTCACTATATGATTATGTCGAGATGGCACAATGTGGTAGCTGTGAACCAATCCAAGCTTCGCAGTTTTTCGGACTCAGACAGCTACCTTGTGCAGAATAGGAATACGGTCATGTGGCGCGGCTCTTCTTCGGATAAACTCAGATTGGTATGCCATTTCCTGTTGATATAGCTCGATGGATATTTGCTGTACATATTCAGCTGCCATGTTGAACTGCGATATACCAGAGAGTTTCTGAGTCTAGAACATCAGAAGTTTTCGCCGTAGCTTTTTGTAAAGCCTTCTGTCAGAAAAGACCTGGTCATGCGAACCATCCCAAGATGACAAGAGACGAAAAGAGGAACGTGTGACAACCAAATTCCGGTGGAGGACCTGATGGCAGTGATGCGAAGATGGTAGATAGCCTCTTGCCTGAGGCATCAAAGTTACGGTCGACTGTCCAATTATGTCGTTATATAATCATCGACCAATCAACACGAATCTGGCGGTATTGATCACATGATCAGATAATTGTCTAACCTAATTTAGCAATGTCCTTATCTGATAAACTTGTGATAAAAAATTTCAGAAACGTGATCAACGCCTTTCACCATCATCTCCACCTACAGACATCAAGATGGGTAAAGCCCCACGAGGCAAGCGCAATGCGGCCTCCAGCTCTCCATATCAAAAGCCTGGTGGTGCGCCACTCTCCAAGGCAGCCTCTGCGATATTCAAGTTCAATACGGACATCGGCCAGCACATCCTAAAAAACCCAACAATCGCCGATGCCATCGTCGACAAGGCCAATGTTCAGCAAAGTCAGACGGTACTCGAAGTCGGTCCGGGTACGGGTATCCTGACGACACGAATTCTCCAGAAAGCGAAAAAGGTCATCGCTGTCGAACTGGATCCCCGAATGGCAGCGGAGGTTACAAAGACAGTTCAGGGGACGCCTGCGGAGAAGAAACTCCAGGTTATTTTGGGCGATTTCGTTAAGACGGATCTCTCCAAGCTGCCTCCCTTCCAGATTTGCATCAGTAACACTCCTTATCAGGTATGATTTTCACACATCGGCCGGTGTTGTAGTAAACGCTAACGAGTCCGCCGCAGATTTCCTCCCCGCTCATCTTCAAGCTCCTCTCCATGCCCAATCCCCCAAAGACCTGCATTCTCATGGTTCAGCGTGAATTTGCCCTGCGTTTGCTCGCCCGCCCCGGAGACTCGTTATATTCCCGACTATCAGTCAACGCACAGTTCTTCTCTCGAATCTCGCACGTTATGAAAGTCGGCAAGAATAACTTCCGACCCCCTCCGCAAGTCGAGTCTAGCGTGGTCCGAATTGAGCCTAAGGCTGACCGACCAAACATCAGCTGGGATGAATGGGACGGTATGCTCCGCATCTGCTTCGTACGAAAGAACAAGACCCTGCGCGCGGGTTTCATGGCCACAAAAATCCGTGCGCTGATTGAGCGCAACTGGATCACATGGGTTTCTATGCACCCAGAGAAGGTTACTCAGGCGGACATTGATTTCCTCCAGGGCAAGGATGTTTCTGCCCTGCAAGGTGCGGACGAGGATATGGATATGGGCCAGGATGGCGATGAGCCGGTCGAGGGAGGTGACGACGAGGACGATATCTTCATGGAGTTGGGAGGAGAAAACGAGGCTCCAGTCACTACCAGCAAGGGTTCACTCGTGGCTATCGGCGACCAACAGGTCCCTCGGGCCATGGTGACGAAACTGGTTCAGGTGAAGATCCAACGGGTTTTGGACCAGGCCAATATGTCGAACGCCCGTGCCCAGAAGTGTGATGAGAATAACTTTCTCCAACTTCTACATGGATTCAATACAGAAGGTATTCACTTTTCTTGAGCGAAGGGTGTTTTCCAAGTGCATTGCAATCTTCTCCAAGCCCGTCGCAGACTCAGGGCCTCCAGTGCCGGAGCGATCGAACTTTTCGCGCTGTCATGCTCCTATCCTCGTTTTGATACCCACTCGACGCTCCTCGGCTCAATAGCGCAATATCGTCGGGTCACTGACGATCTACATAATGCACTCTCGGTAGAGTGCATTTTCTGTGAGGAATCATGGTGCGAGTGAACCATGCCTCTGTGCTATACCCATGGGCACTTGAGCTTGTTAATTTTCGGGTTCTATAATTCGACGGTTAGACTACGGAGACATCATCATCATTAGTAACGAAGACATGACATTTATCCAGTCTTATGCTACCAGTGCTTTTTTTTTCTTTTGTTTTTTGGTTCTTCCATCTAAACACTGCTATAGGTGCCCTGGCGTCTTAGGAAGGTGGTAGGGAAATAGAGCCTGAAGGAAGAGGAATAGATGCTAAAATCGAAAAGGGAATATCGCGGATCGACTGACTATTAAGCGATTATCAGCTTTCTCCACCGTTAGTATTTGTTTATAGTAAGAGGAGATTGACCAGAATCGTCTAGGCCCTCACTCCTATTAATCTCATGCCAGCCATACAACGTCGGTCAGCGCGGTCCCTTCCAGTCAGCCAAAGCCCTCTTGTGATCGTCCGTTTCGGTCTGAGGAAATAGTGAAGCTGTTCGTAAGCTATCTCAGCGCCGCCGGGATTTCCGAAATATCTTGGCTACCCTGTCGATCTCATGTCCGCAACCAGGGTGCCGATCATGTAGATAAGCCAGATGATTGGTTGGCATAGCGCGTATATCAAGGGTCTCGCTAAGCGCAGAGGCGTCTCGAAATACATTCGTCCAGATGCTGAGACAATAACCATAGAGAAACTTATGGAGCCGATCAGGCCTGTCACAGCGAATCCGTTTGACCAGGTGGGTTCAAAAGATCGATTCCTTTGGCAGCAAGAATCTAAGCTATATGATTGGTGGTACAATATATATGAACGAGGAAGAAGCGCCATGATGGCTATCTGGACGGCCAACCAGACGAGTGTCAGCCAGAACCAGCGTTATATCTTGAACCTGGATATCTCGGAGAAACAGAGGATGATCAAACTGCGCGATAGGCTTAGACCAGATGGCCTATCCGCATTACAAAGCTTATGGACCGATCCGAGAATCTAGGCGAGGAGAAGCGCAATGAGAGCAAGGAGCAATGGCTCAGCGAATGGGAAAGCGTAATTCATGAGTGTGACGATGCTGGACTGCTTGGATATTCTGGTTACGAGGCTAGTCTCAAATATATCAACGCGATTGACCCGCTTCTGCCAGTCTACGCGAAGGTTAGGTATGCGAAGCTCAAGCCAGATGTTACCCCAAGCATCTTGGAACAGATAAACGCCTTCCGACTGATGGGAGTCCGCATCAGACGAAGAGAAGCAACCGAGCTCTGTAAACTTTTGAAGGCCAATCCGACCAGTCAAATTGCTCAAGTCAGTGCAAGTGCATCTGCGGTGATTTCCATCCCTTCATTGACTGCCCATATATCGTATCGAGTAAAGATCCAGCCAGCTGGAAGGCAGATCCAAAGATGGAGGCAAAGTTCGAGAAGGTTAAGAAGACGAGTGAGAACGTGGAACTGGCTATCGAAAGAGCCGTTGAGCAATCCAGTCAGGAGGCTGGAGCAGTCGGACATTCCCCTGATCAATCAAACCGTCAGGATCTACAGCCGTGGTAAGCGAAGGTATTGAATGCGAATTGGAATGAAGGTCTGATTCTTTCAATCTACCATTCTGCGTTAGTATATGCAGTAAGGAAATACGATTCCCAAATGGAGCTGTAGGGATCTCTGCCAATGGACGGCAAATCAGTGGTTAAACCATGATGCCTAGCAATCAGCAGTCTAAGCGGTCGAATCAGAATTCCCGAGGATCCGTCTGACAACTCCTTTCCCACCAGCGTTGAGTTACGTTGACACAAAGACTCATAATCGTCATCACAGCCTCTCTCCAAGCTCTTCCAGAGACACTCCGCTCCTAGGGTTTTCCCTAGTTTTCTCTACAACACTGATCTTACGGAGCCTACTGCCGACCGCACTGCACGCTCCAAACGTAGTCCACAACGATAATGGCAGACAAAACACCTGCCACGGCAGGCCAAAAGCCAAAAGCCGACATTAACACGGCAGCAGAGGCTCCACCTCGCTGTACAAAAACTGTTGAGCCGAACAAAATGGTTTTCTTCTACCCAACGACTGACGATCGACACGAAATATATATTTCCAGAGGAAAATTTCAGAAAGCCTTAGAACTCTCGGTGCAGGAGAACTGGAAGGAACTGTGCAAATTCCCTGCTTATAGTGCGTGCTGTGGTCTTGGTCCTAACGCTTCGATGTTATACAACTGACTTTCGTGTCATAGCTGGTCAGGGGTATGAGGAGTGGGATTAATGGAGTGACGGAGTCGTTCCAGGGTTCAGGTGAAGGTGATGTCTCGGAACTCGGAAGCTTGGTACAGAAGAATATCCACCGAACAAACCGCTCTATATCTTCTGGGTTTAATCTTTCCAAAGCGTAAAGTTTTGCATTGATAGTTCGTACTACATAAGTGCGAGATGAGAGATAGGAAGGATCAAGCCATACTCTCTCATAAGGCTGATGAAAACCCCACTGTGGCAGTGCAATTGGGTTACAAGGTGGAGCTGCACTGCCACACTTCCGAGAGCATGGAGCCTAGGCAGTAGCCCCATTTGTTTACCTAAAAAGGCTGTCTGGTCCTCCTCATCTTCCTAACGTACCAAATATTCTCATTTCCTAAGGGCTTCATCTACCACAATCCATTTGACATAGTTGGTGTCCGGTTATCGTCCTCTGAAGGAAGTAGCACATCTACGCTTGTTTTCAAGTCTACCTGTCCCTTCTGTTTGGCGCAACTATGTCCGCGCAAGAGTACTATAACTCTGGCTATATTGGCGGCCGAAAGCCGGATACCCCATTCAGCGACAACGGCAACAATCGACCATGGACCCCGCCATCCTCGACGGTCACTCCAGGACCTGAAGTGTCCTACTCACCACAAGGAGAAAATCGTCCTTACAACTATGGTGCCCCGCCCCCGCCGACAACCAGCTATGGGCGTCCTCAGAATGTGTATCCATCCCAGCCTTTGGATAGTATGGCTCCGGGATTTTCATCGCAGACAAAACCACAGCAGTACGACAATGAATATAACAACTCTGGACCACCACCTTACACCCAGCAATACTATGGCTCGCAACAGCCGCATCCCCCATACCCTACTCATGACACCTATCCTGAGCACCCGCCCACTCAGCCGCCGTATCCACAGGATCAGAAGGATGAAAGAGGGTTTATGGGAGCGGTTGCTGGAGGCGCTGTAGGCGCCTACGCCGGTCACCAGGCCCATCACGGCGTCTTGGGTACTATCGGAGGAGCCATCACTGGATCTCTCGCTGAGGATGCGATCAAGAAGCACAAGAAGAAGAAGGAGAAGAAAGAAGGCAAATGGGGACATGGTCGCCGCTCCTCGTCCTCCTCTTCGTCGTCGGACAGCGATGACGGGCGGGCCCATCATCCTCCTGCGGAGCCCTCTTTCCGTGGCAACTTTTCCGCCTCGTCAACGGAGATTAGCCTCGAGCATGATTATGAACTGACGGCTAGATGTCGTTCCATCTCAGGAGAACTGCATCGTTCGAGTATCTCGTTGAACTCGGTCCTCTCGAACCACTTCGGTTCTTTTGTATGGGCGCGTGGCGGCAATTTTGGAGCATCGGCGAGAAATGTGCATCTTGCTGAAGGCGGAAGAATACTTGACGCTGAGCTGGCTGATGGAAACGGGCACTGGAAGAGGACATGGGTGAGGTTGGATGAGCGGATCACAAACCAGAACGGGCATCTTGTATTCCTCGATTGATGTCTGTGAAACTGGTACCTTATTTGCTGTAATCAATGTTAGCTAATGGCTCCTAATGAAACTCAAACCCTTGTGGCTAACTCTAATAGCAGGTCTTAGGACTAGAAGGGACTTAATCCATCTCAGTTCAAGTCAAGATCATTCATAGTCTTGCCTTTTCCAACAAAGGTCGTAGCCATGGAGAACGGCCGATGACACGACGAATAGCCTCTGAGCGGACTGAATGCATTCGGTCAGACGATCCTCATTTACCACTCAGAAGTGAAGACTGAGCACGTCTGCCTCTAGCAAACAACATGTATCATGTGACTGCGCCGGTCTCAAAGTGAGGTGATTGTGTTGTTTGTTTTTTCTTCCCCTTCCCAAATCACTCAACACAATTCAAACATCCTGCATCCCACTCAGATATCGGGAGAGATGGACTCCCTTCCCACGGAGCTCCTAACCATAGTCCTTCATCATCTCAATGACAAAGTCCACGCACGAAATGCGGCCAGCCACCTACCGGAGAGATGGTGGTCCGGATGCCTCGCAAGGTATACAGTTGTTTCACGCAGATGGCAAGCGATTCTCGAACGGATGATATGGAAGAAGATAGTCCTACGCAAATCAAACGCTCTGGAAAGACTGGAGAAGTACACCTCTGGCAAGCCACATCGTATGGCGAGAGTTAAATGGGTAAGACAAATTCTCTGGGAGGCACATGTCAGTTTTGAGCTCGCACAGCGGCTTCGCGAAGCGATGAAAATCCATCCCATGGCGCTGGCTTGTATTCTGCCGTACCAGTATTACAGTTTATATCGTCAGATATTTGCAGGTATTTTCCGCATCTTAAGCCGATGGGAGTCAACCTGCGACGAATCGATGATTGAGCTGTTTCTTATTGTGGATCACTCTGTATATCTGGAGTCGTCCATCCGAGAATGGAATTGGGATTATGAGGACGCCACTGTTGAAGACCTCTGGCGGATGGGCTTGATAGCCCACCTAGTGCATCTCACGACACAAGATGCTGCAGCATATCCAACACTTCACAATGTCAGGTCACTCAGTCTTGAAACTGCTATAACCAACATGCGGCCTTCGGCATTTTTTCAGCTTTTGAGCCGGTTGCCCAACGTTCGCCGTGTTTCAGCTGGAGAAAGCTTTTTCATAGAACCATTTGCACTCCGCGCCCTCCGCGAGGAAAGACAAAGTTCGTATACTTCATGCTCTATAATCTTTGTGACTATTTTAGCTAGATACTGACGGCCTCTTCTTAACCAGTGCTTGTCCATTGCCTTACTCTAGTCCCGCCTTCGGTCGAAGAGTTCGAGTATGAGATTGCACTGGAACGAGAAATGTCGGAGACGCCAGTTGACGATGCAGCCAATTATCTCTCGGTAAGGGGGCTTGATGAGCTCTCCATTGCCTTTCGAACACTCTCCATGCGACTGAGAGTCCTTCATTTGACCAACGTACGGGTCAACTGTGAACTATTTTGGGCATCACCTGAGGAAGACAGGGTCGACGTTGATACACTCCACTGGCCGGTGCTAGAGGTCATTACAATAACGGACACACCTCCATATACAGCAGACGGTATGTTCTGACAGCATGGGTACTGATTCATGTTACGCTAATCCAATCAGGGAAATGGATTCTGGAAGTTAATCCCAACAAAGAGCCATTGATGGAAATGGAAGATTTCGACAACGGATGGGATTACGATGAGTTGGGATTTGACGCACGGGGACTGATTAGAAGTGACGAAGTCGACAAGCTCTACTCGGCAATGGGCAAGGCTGCACAGAGAATGCCACGGCTGAGATACCTTCACTTCGGGTTCCGTGGTGAAACCACAGACTGGGAAGGCTTGATATTCTATAGAAATCTGGAGACACAAGAGGCTCGTTTAGTGATCAACACAGACTGGGAATATGATCTTGGAGAAGAGGTCACCACGGCCTGGGGTCTAAAGGGCGAAAAGGCCAAAGAATTTCGGACAAGCTGGATGATCCAATTCGATCGCTGGCCTTCGGGAGATACTGGCATCGGGGAGGAGGAAATCTCGGCACGTCCTATCTGAGGCCCATTCAGATTGCTGGAGTTTATGCAGGCCGTGGGGTGATTCTCTTGAGTCGATTACTTAGTGAATATGACAAGAGGTACTTGCCTCAAAGGAACCCTTGTGTGGCCCAAGGAGACAATCGAATTACCACAGTGAAAAGAAAGACTGATGATATTACCTTACAGTAGAGAGACGGGCTTTGAGTCTGTGTAGAAAAACCACACCAGCTGCTGGTGAATATATCATTAAGCTCAGCATAATCCCTTTCTAGACATTCAAAGCTTTTTCTGTGAATGTTTCAGACCTCCATCACAAGGCCGCCTGTTAGTCACTGTTTTGTTTATTTGTGACCGTTCACTGTACTCTTGTCTCCCTTCCCGTCCCCAATTACCCTTTCTATCACTCTTACTCTGACCACTGCTGCATGCCCTCTCTCATCTCCTGTGCTTATTTTCTGGCATTTCAAGTCTGTAAAAAGAGACAGGTCAATACCATATTATCATGGACCCATCTCAATGATACTCTGGGTAAGCCCTTCCAGATCTTGTCTTCTTGCCATCTTCTTACCAGAAAAACAGAACTATGATCCCGAAGTTCGAGTGCTTTCAATAGCTCTTCCAAGCTACTACCCTTTAGATCTCCTAAGAAACCTCTTGCTCTTTCCTGAGAAAAGACATTTCTGTGTGTGGTTTGCCAAAACTTACCAAACGGAGATCAATTATTGTTCTGCGGATAAGCCTTACTATAGCAGGGGAAAGGGTGGTTCGAAGGCTGGAAAAGCTCTCCGAAATCTGAAGAGTGTACTGAGCATAAAGAAGCAATTTTCGAGAATGGGCCCACGCGAGCAAACCAGAGAACAGACCCATTGTTAAACCAAGGCTATATCAATGCAAGCAATGCCCGCAGATGTTTACATCTGCGTGGCTTGTGCGGCAACATGCCAAAGACGTCCATGAATGGACACCCCAGACATATCCAGACTGCAGCACCAACATTGTGTACACTGGTCAGAAATCCTTCAACAAGCACAGATCACAGGTCCATGATTGTCTCACTTGTACTCACAAGGATTGTACTACAAGCAGACAGAAATACATAGACCGCCGCAGCCTGTGGCACCATATCAAAAGGCAACACAAGGACGTTTCAGATGATCAACTTGCGTCAATGCTCCCGCCCAAGAAGATCAAGCAGTTACAGACCCCCAAACTTACCTGCGCAAGATGTGAGAACTACAAACGTATAAACGTACTCAGCTGGCAGCTCATCACGAATACTTTCATAAGCTGGCCAAGGCCCAGGCTCGTGTTGAAGATGGCTTAGACACCATGCCCAAGACAACGTCCAAATATTACATCAAAAAGACTCAATGATTTGGCAATTTCACGGAATCATTGCCCCTCTTGATCGAACGTTTTCAGTACCCGCTATTGTCGGTGAAGCTCGAAGCCTCTGGCCAGGTAAATGCCCAGAGCCAGCAGACCTTTACTCAGGAACGGAACGAATTCTCTCCCAAATGCAGTTGGGAGCCAAGCCAGGCGATCCTCCAAATATCGGATTGAAGGACACGAAGGTCAAGAAGATCATGGGGGTTCTGAGAGCGGCCGGCAGTGTGTTGACTTCAGTGGTATTGACTATGGATTTGCTGTTGCTCTGCAGGACCTTTGGCGTGCACCTCAATTCAGAGAGCAAGCTCTGTAGTTCTCTCGAGGTGTAGCCCAGGTTTAAATGCATGGGCATGTCAGGGGTCATTATCTCTCGTGGTAAATACGGACATACCGATTACCTGGAACCCGTCCCAAACCAGCCAACGATGTTTCAAGAATGCAATGAAGAACGGCGATCATTGTGTTTGTCTACGAGACGCTTCCTTCAGGAAGTACCGGCGCTGTCAGCGCCTCGGAAAGACCTGCCGCAAAATTCCCTTGCAGCTGCGTCGCCGGGTGGCTTGCCGCAAGTTCGACGACGAATTGACGGCGGTCACCTCATTCCTGCGTAAACAGGAGACACCTCATTTGTTGCGGTCCCTTAACCGCAACGTTTTCCGACTTCTCACTGTGATGAGTGCTGTATCCGGGGGCCGCGTGCCTGCCCCGGAGGAGGAGGTCGAGTTTGAAATGTATGAAGGAGAAGTGGCCGATGAATAGGTTCCTGTATGTACTCAACACATTCAACGCATTGAGAATCCGGCGTGGGAGGTGTCAAATAGCATCGAATAGAAGGACAAGGAGTTCTGGCCTAGCTCCACCGCAGCCAGGCGGCTGCAGAAACAGACGATGACCGTCAAAGGTTTGCATGACAGAGATCGGCCACAAATCAGTCTCAATACTCGGGCACATGCCACTTTTGTTAGGGGTACTGCTCAGCACCTTCCTTCTCTGTTTGAAGCAATGACTTGCCTAAGGCCTCTGTCATCTGCTACTTACGGCGTCTGTCCTCACGCTTGTTCAACTTCCAGCTAATGACGGAATAATGACAGATATCAATTCCGTCTGAGGAATGGTTAATATTTGGATATCAGCATTCCATTTTCTGTAGCTCGTTGTCATCTATCTCTGGTGAAAATTACTGCAAAAGGGATCCTGAAGGTGCACACAGTTGCTTGCGTATCCAATATTAAGTGACAAAGGTTAGTCTCTATCTTACTGCGCTTTCAAGGAAACTCTAGAGAATGAAAGTAAAAATCATCTTAAGACTGGATATAACCTTTCTATTGAGGAACACTATTACCGGTGCGAAGCGTTCCTGCAAACGTGCCCTGGGCAACGCGATGCCACAATAAGCTCTCTCAAGGTGCCCTTAACGCCGTTGTCAGCACCACAGCTTGTTTTCTTTACCTGCATGCTCCAGCTGCACAGCTTTGGAGGCAAGCATGAATATTATTCATGTAGGCAACAGTTATAGATAGTAAAAGCAGCTGTGACTTGTCAACACACACAATGTACAATGTGAGGAATCTCTGAGAGTGACGATGCCAAAAAAAAGTAGTGAATAGAGTGGAGCACAACATCTGTCAGACTCATGGTTCTTCCTCGCCATAATACATGTATTCAGACCGAATTTCTCATCGAAAGGTAGGATATGATGGAATCATTTCCATATCATCGAGACCGCTTTGAGTCGCATCAGGGGATGTATTGAAAGGGCAAGTCAGTAACGAATCCAGTACGTTAAATTTATAATCACGAGTAGTCGTCTTGTCGTCATAAAGTACTAAGATGTCAAGTCTTTCCACCGCCCCTGACGAAGTGCCATGTGCACTCGAAGCATACTACCCTTACTACGTCATTCGAACCACGGAGGACTGCCGTTGATCCATACTTAGAAAACGGGATAAAGTTTTCCAGATAAGGTTGTTGAAGTTGAATACGGATACTTGGCCAATCACATCCTCCACCCGAAACTATTGCGTCTCTAGTGGCGAATCTCGACTCCACCGTCATATGCCTGAAGAGGCAAGAAATACGGATACGGAGAGGTATCGACATTTTGAACTCTGCTATAATTATTCGTCCGCCTGATGACCGGAGGCGTTATCCCATCCGCTCTCACTTGCCTCTTCCCAACTCACTTCTGGCAGTAATTCGGAACCATGGGAAGACCCGAGACACTTTCACAATACTCTGAAAGCGATGGACCTCCACCGTACTCCCCCGTGGATGGTGAACTTGTTGCGGAGTCGGCTGATGTTCGAGGTAAGTAAGCGACGATGTCAAGTAATATATCGCTAACTAGGCCAGCCGATGGGCGAATTGACGTTGATCTGAACTCGAGGATTGCCCGCACACTCGCTCGGATCGTCGAGCTGCAACAGGAAGACATCCACAGCCCACCTCCCAACTATGAGCAGGGGCTGCAACAGCAGCAACATCAAGAGCATCAGCTACAACCAATTGAATGCAACATTCACCTGAATATCGTGATCCAGATTGTTGGTAGCCGCGGCGATGTCCAGCCTTTTATTGCACTCGGCACCAAACTACAAAAGCACGGCCATCGAGTCCGTCTAGCCACACATGATGTTTTCGCAGACTTTGTGAGGTCCTCCGGGCTCGAGTTCTATCCAATCGGCGGTGACCCAGCGGAGCTTATGGCCTTCATGGTGAAAAACCCCGGCCTCCTACCGCAGATGAACAGTCTTCGGGGCGGGGAGATCCAGAAAAAGCGAGCCATGGTTGCAACCATGCTGAACGGGTGCTGGCGTTCGTGCATCGACGATGACCCGCTAACCAAGGTCCCATTTGTGGCGGATGCAATTATTGCAAACCCGCCCAGCTTCGCGCATGTGCATTGTGCGCAGGCGTTGAAGATTCCGGTGCATCTGATGTTCACCATGCCGTGGAGTAGTACGACTGCTTTCCCTCACCCGTTGGCGAATTTGCGGCCGTCTGATATGAGTCCCCGAGCGGCGCACTGGGTTTCGTATGGTGTGGTAGAGTGGTTGACCTGGCAGGGGTATTGATTTTCTGTCTGCATGCAGTTCTTACAGCTGACACAGACTAGGTTAGGCGATGTAATCAATCGATGGCGAGCCACTATTGACTTGGATCCCATTCCTATGGCCGAGGGGCCCAGTTTGGCAGAGACCCTCAAGATCCCTTTCACGTACTGCTGGTCTCCAGCTCTGGTACCAAAACCTACGGACTGGGCTGAACATATCGGTTAGTGCTCCATGATGGCTACAAGGAATATACTCATAACTATAGATGTGTGCGGCTTCTTCTTCCGGGAATCACCGTCGTATCAACCACCACGAGATCTCGAGCAATTCCTTGCTTCAGGGCCACCACCTGTGTATATCGGCTTTGGAAGCATCGTTGTGGATGATCCGCAACGCTTGTCGAATACGGTATTGCAGGCAGTTGCTGAGTCTGGTGTTCGTGCCATCGTGTCACGAGGTTGGAGCAAGTTGGCCGGAGATGGGAATCCGAACATCTACTTCATCGGCGACTGTCCCCACGAATGGCTGTTCCAGCATGTTTCGGCGGTTGTCCACCACGGAGGTGCTGGGACGACAGCTTGTGGACTTGCCAACGGGAAGCCAACGGTCGTCGTACCTTTTTTCGGGGAGTGAGTTCTCGTTTTTCTATATACTGGCTAGTGGCTCACTAATAGTTAGTCAACAATTCTGGGGAAGCATGATTGCGAGGGCTGGGGCAGGCCCATTGCCCATTCCTCACGCTACACTCAGCGTTCAGAATCTGGCCGAGGCTATTCGATTCTGTCTCAAGCCACAGACTGTTGCTGCTGCTCGTGAAATTGCCGCCAAGATGCAGTATGAGTCGGGCGTCTCTGCCGCAGTACAGTCCTTCTACCGGCATCTTCCGCTGGAGCAGATGAGGTGCCAGGTATTCCCAGACCAGGTTTCTGTATGGACATACGCGAGGCGCAGGCTTGAAATTCGACTATCAAGGAAAGCCGTGCAGATTCTCATCGACCACCTAAAGATTGATCCAAAGAATCTCCGCTGGTGAGTTTGCATTCTCCATTTTTCATCGCACACTGACGGGACAGTTATGATATCAAACCGATTATCATCGAGAACCGCCGCTGGGATCCCGTCACCGGTGTCACCTCCGCAACCATAGGCACCGGCACTGATATGCTCAAAAATACCACCAATATGTTCTATAAACCGTACAAAGAACTTGCTCGCAATAGAACCGAAGCCCTTTCCGATAGCGAAGAGCGCAACCCTGTTGCCACCGCCGGGGCCATGGCAGGACAATTTGCCAAAAGCTTCGGACAATTCATGGGGTCGTACACTAGGGGTGTCATTGTAGATATCCCGCACGCGGCAGCGGAGGGATTCCGGCAGGTCCCACGGCTGTACGGCGAACAGCCCAAGGACTACGGGGCCGTGCAGGATTGGAAGTCCGGGGCTACAGTTGGGGGAAAGAACTTTGTGGATGGCATGATGGAGGGATTCTCGGGGCTGGTCACTCAGCCGATCAAAGGGGGGAAGGAGGAGGGCGCGCTGGGTGTTGTCAAGGGTTTGGCAAAGGGTACAGCGGGATTCATGACCAAGGTACCCTCCGCTGGACTGGGGCTCGTAGCGTATCCATTTCAGGGTATTGTGAAGAGCATTGAGTCGTCCGTGAGGTCCAAGACGAGGAAGGCTATTATCACGGCGCGACTACGGGATGGGTATGAGTTGAGCAGACGAGATTTGGTTTCTCAAGAGGAGAGACAGTTTGTCCTGCAAAAGTTTAAGAGTCTGTGCAGTACAAATACTACCCCTCCCTAGGTCTAGGAATTGGGAACTCAGGGGCTTCAAGCTGGGCCTAAGGCACAAACCGATATCAAGGCACCAACAAAGTCACATGACTGTGTGGGATGAATTGGATGATCCATTGCTGGTGCCAACGCGCAGACACCAAGCGAAGGACGCATCAGGGTAAAAACAAAACACCTTAGAGTCAAGGAATTAAAAACCTTTTACTGCCACTACAATTATGATTTAACCGCTTACTATAGGCGTAACATTTACTGCAGCTGTCAGCTCATAACCCTTTGGTGCATTGTGGCATCTTTCGCACTTATCCCAACATGGTTCGCACGTCGTGGACGTAATTGTGCCTTCATGTATATTTCCTCTGCATCTTGAGACGCGCGAAGCATCCAAGTCATAGTACTTAGTCATGGAAGCCAATACCACGGTCGCCTCGGGCCTTGTCCCAATTGCTCCAGCGCCAGCTAGGGCACCCTCCGTCGACATGGCAGACTTGACCACAATGCGCTTCAACTGCCAAGCGTGTGTCCGCAAAAAAATCAAATGCAATAGGGCTGTGCCAACATGCTCAAGCTGCAGCAAAGCAAAACTCCAGTGCGTCTACCAGGCTCCCCTGCCGCGCAAGAGGAAGCGAAGCCATTCCGAAGACGTGTATGAACGTCTAGCACGGTACGAGCGCATCTTGAAAGAGAACAATCTTCTCCCTAGGGACTCTACACCGACCCCGTGTCGCAAGGGGACGGAGGAGCTGGCGCTCAGCACACGGGACCCAACCCCAGTGCAACCTGCTAAGTCTGGTAAACTACTTTCCGCAGAGGGCAAGTCTCGCTATATTGACAATGTTCTCCTCCTCGATGCCGGAGAAGGCGATTTGTGTGAGTTATCTGATTCAGACCAAGATGACTATAACGACGA